GATGAATTTATTAAAATTGGTGGTATGACGAATAAAAATGTATTGCTATGTTGCTGAAGACAAATTTTTCTTTTTTTTTGGGCTGTTATTTTCAACTGATTTCATCATTTTTCAGTCATGTCTTAAGTGCATTCAAACGACCCTGGCCTTGTTTTTTCTTATAACCCTTGAGAAGGATGTTTACTTTTACAGTACTCTTCAGTTTATATATGCTACAATAATTTAACAAAACTGTCTTATAATGATGAAAAAATTTTAGACTATATCTACGCATTAGTCACAGAATGACTTCTTGTTTACCAAGAAAATTATGGTAGAAGATGTGAGTTACTATCCAATCAAAAGATTTATTTTAATTATGTCTTGATATTTTTGTTAGATTTGATTGTTATTGCAATGTATTGAAAGAAAGAAAACAAGAACAAGAATTTCCTTGATTTAAAATTATTCCTTTAACAAAATTGCGACATTTTAATTACATATTTCAGTTAATTTATAGTTCTATTCATAAATAAACAATGAATAGCATAATGTTTGAAAATTTTGGGTTTTGTTTTGTTTTTCTTCGAATAAAATTTATGAAAAAATTAGTTAGTCTAAAGTACTTATCAGATAATAAATGTACCTACAATAATCTTTTGACTTTAATCGAACATTGATATGAATATACCTTTGTCTTATTTTTTTTTTCATCTAAGATATACTGTTATATGATTGTTGTTTAAGCTGTCAGATTGACGTCATCACCATGATAATTATAAGATATGTAATGAGTTGATGAAAAGATTTATTGAAGCAAAAATATTAAAAAGAAATTATCATTCCGCTTTAAATTTCAAAATAAAAAAACAAAACAACCAAGTGCCAAAAAGTAGATAATCTTATTTAAATCATTGAGAAAAAATGTTCTAAATATTTAATTGATTTTGAGAAAAATCTATTTTGATAGGAAGAAATCTTATGATCAGATTTTTATTACACAAAGTTTTGCTTGTACAAACGAATTTTATTCGATTTGATTAACATTTTACATACTGCTCGTAAATAAATCCAAAAAAAAAAACTAAAGTAAATCTTTCCGAACTTCATATATATTTCTTTTTTCTATAGATTTATTTATGCTGTTATGTTCGTCATATCCAATATATTTGTCAAATATTTCAATTCATTTAGTTTATCTTTTATTTGCATTAGTAAAATCTTGCTTTGACGTGTTTCAGACGATCTCTTTTTTCTTTTTTTATCAAATCAAGTGTTCTTAATAACATTTATCTATATTGATAATGGTTGAAATAAATATAGAATGAAAGAGTTTTTTTGAGTACAAATTTTTTTGAAATTTCATTATTCTACTTGCAATTTTAATAAAGCTATGCAGCAATGATTTATACTAATATTATCAAAGTTTATTGTATTCTCAACATTAATAGAAGACAATAAAAAAAACTAGATAATTGTCATAAATTACATTTAAAAAGAAAAAAAGAATATATGCTCCATGTTTTAAGTGTCTGAAAATGAATGTGTTTACTGTATCAATGTATTTGAATACATTATTCTTGTAAAAAGAAATGAGACTGTCATTCTACAATTCAACAAAAAGAATGAAAATCTATTAGTTTATACTTAGTCATTACTGTTTTTTGAACTTAATTTTTTCTTCAAAAAGAAAAAAAACAAAAACCAAGCATCCATGTAAATTTTAAGAGCAAAAAAAAGAAAAAAATTATACTTATGATGTAGAACAATCGTAAAATTAGAGAAAGAATAATGATGTGTATTTATAACAACAATACTTGAAATCGGTAATAACAAAAGCAACATCATTATATATACGATGTTTATTCTTAATTTCCATTTACATTGATATAGAAGGAGAAAGAGAAACCCAGTTTGAAGTAGGTATTTATTTGCTTTAGTTGCCTTTTTTTTTCTTTTAAATTGTTAACGAGAAATAAATTCCAACACCTGGTCAATTTTTTTTTTCTATTATAGAACTGTAGTCATACATCATATTTATCCTTTCAATGCCAACATTAACAGATGGTGGTTGATTCACGTAACAACTAATACATTGATTGTTACTCGGTTTTTATTGATACATTTTATTCTTAATATCATATATTTGATGACAAAGTCCAGAACGACTAATTAAATGATAATCACTTCTTTTTTTTTGTTCGATGAAAAAAAAAGCAATGACAACGACGCGCGCAATTTCATGTACGTGCTTGTCCTTGAGACAAGATATTATCCTAACATCAAAGTACTCTAATGGGTTAAGCACTACGTGTACGACAAGGGGCAGATGGTATCTAATTTTCACATCGATAAAAACATGCAAACTGATCTTTTTTGGAATATGAATATCAGATGCAAAGAAATAGAATTGATTAAATTATGATAAACAAAAAAAAAAAAAAAAAAAGAAAAACGATGAATGCAAAATATTTCAGTATACTCAATCTAAAATTTCTTTCTTTTTCTGTACGTCCAGAGCATATTTTTCATTTATATTTTAGTAATATAATATGCAAACATTACATTGTTTTTTCTTGACTTCTGTCATATTATCACACCATAACCATCATTGACACCAACGCACATTTTTTACTTGTCCTTTCAAGGTGTTGTTGAGTGTATTCGACTGTGGCATAAAAAGAAAGGACATTTAGTGAATACCGTCTAAAATGTTTGGCTCTTGTGTCCTTATCGTACGAATATAAATATATGAATCAAACAATGCTAAGATAAAGAACGGATATTCTTGTTCTTCAGTTCAATTTTCTATCCCGGTCTTTTATTAGAATGACCTCATTATGCTTAAAATAGCGGTTACCCTCGTTGACTATTTTCTATTCTTATATTTTCAATTGTATAATGAAACAGCTGACAAACCAGTAAAGATTCATAGTCTATGTTTTTTGTTTTCTTTCACTCTCGCTTACTTTTTTTCTTCTCGACAGACGTATTTAACGAATAAAGAGAAGTAGAAGAAAAGAGAAGAGAGATGAATGTATATAATATATATATATATATTTAGAGTAACAAAACATAAATCAAGAATGAGACAAGTAAATTTATGTGAAATATATTTCTACTCGAACTTTGATCTTATTCAAAAAAAAAGAAATTTCTTTTTTTTTTTAGTTATTTTCAGATGTCTGTAGATGTTGACTTTTTTCCTCATTTACTTATGAAGGATAGTATATTAACAACACAATATGATAGAAGAAATAGTTGGACTATGTCAGTATCTTCATCATCATCATCATCATCAACAGCAGCAATAACAACAACAACGACAAATACAACATCATGGTTCGAAAGAAAATTATTTAGTCATTTTAAACGTTTTTTTCGACGAAAATCTTTATCATTAATATCAAATCGTCGAATATCATTATCAAATATTGAAAATATTCTATCATTACCAGTTAATGAAACACAAAAAGTCGAAGAAGAAGAAGAAGAAGAAGAAGAAAAAGAAAAAGAAGAAAAATCTCCTATTAATAATGATAATGAAAAACTTTCATTATCAACAATATCATCTATTTCTAATTCAATTGATTTACTTTATGATTATGATCGTCTTCTTGAACGTTGTATTAAACAACATGAACATAATCATACTACTAAAATAAATGTACATTGTCAAACACCAATATCAATTCCACATGCAGATTTAATTGTTAATCAAATATGTACAATAATTATTAATTGGAAATCTTATATACGTTTATTTCATTCATTAAAACGTGATCCACATTTATTTCAACAATATATTAATCAATATTATTCATGTCAATCATTTATAAATCAACGTGAACAATTAACATTAAATATTCGTACAACAAAAACAATATTTGATAATGTTTTACGAAAATTTCTTGATGATTATATTACATGTTTAATATGTCAAACGGCACAAACATATTTGATTAAATCAGATCGTATATGGAGAATAGAATGTCAATTATGTGGTATTCAACGAATAGTTAAACGTCTCAAATGGAAACATCATCAATAATGATCATAATACTAATAATAATAATACAAGTAACAATAAAAACAAAAAAAAAACAACAATAGTGATATACGATATCTTAGTTGTGTTCTTTTCAAATCTAGTCTCTTCTGTCTCATTTCATTTCTTGTTGATTGTTACTGATGTCTTAATAGATTTTTTTTTCTCTTTTTCTCTGTAGCTATGCTTTTAACTGCATGCCATACATACAATAAGCAAAAGAGCACTTTAGAAACACCTTTTATGATAATATCGTTGTTGGTATGCAATTATTTCATTTCTTTTTTTTTTTTCTATGTGTTTATCCTTTGCATCATTTATATACTTTTTTCTAAAAGTATATAAAATAAATAATAATTTTTCGTATTTTATGTAGCATCATATTTACAAAAAAAAAAGGAAAATCTTTAGAAAACCAGGGTTCACCGAGTGAAATTTTTGAAGATAATCAAAATGAAGCCTTTTTTTATTTTTCAAATTAAATGTGAGAACAAGCATAAAATAAATAATGAAAAAACAGCAGGTTCTTACATGAGTCACATCAGAAAAGAATACCTACACGTTTTGATTTTTATCAATAAAAAAAAAAAAAAAAACTATTTCTAGTTTCAACAGATGTCAGTAGAATTCAAAGATTGTTGTCAAGTCTTTTCTATTATTTGTTAAACATATGAACCATTAAAGTAAAAATCAAGTTAAAAATAGATAATTCAATAGAGTTTTTTCCTAAATGAATATAATGGAAGTTTTATGATGAAATAAAAAGCTTTGTTTTTTAAATGATTCCGAATTCAGGTCAAATGAACGCTTGTTCTTTACGACACACACATACATATAAATTCAATCACATACAACATAGAATGAGGCCGAAAGTGAGTATATGCGTGTATCATGTAAAAAATACTAACGGAATTTTACTTAATAATATAAAAATTTCGAAAGATTAATAATTATTATCTATATTTAATTTCAGATGTTTCTTCGTCTACTTCGTTCATATGATAAAACAATAATATTAAATGGAATAAAATTTTCTCGTTTTCTTTCTGAATCATCATCATCATCAAGAGGACGTGCATTAAAATGTTATAATAGTAAAGAAATTTCATCATCAATGAAATTACCCGTATTAAAACGTGTAGCAAGAAAAAAACCAACATGGAAAGAAACAAATATATTAAATCAACGTGAAGAACAATATTTTAATGTAATTGCATATGCAACTGCTGATTGGTATGATTTAGATCGATTAAAACAACGTTTTATTTCATTATCAAAACCACCTCAATTAATTCATATATCAAATATGTTAGATAATGTTTTATGTATTCAAATACATCGTGAAATAAAAGAAAAAAGTGAAGCATTTATATTTGATGATGGTGCTGTTATTTTTTGGAATGTTCAAAGTGATGATGAAAAATTAATTTTAAATGAAGTAAATAAGAAATTTTTCATTTTTAAAATTTTTGTTTTATGTTTCATTTTTCTTTTTTCTATTTTTTTTGATTGATGAAGTAAGTGAAAATCAATATCCAAAAGATTTAATTAATAATGAAAAAGAAATTATGAATTTTATTGAAGTTTCAACAATGAGTACAATTAATAATGATATTATTAAAGTTAATTGTCTATCTGAAACAGAACAATTACTTGATAAATATACATTTTCAAATGCACTTGCACTTTCAGTTAAATTAGGTAGAATAAATAAATAAATAAATTTTAATAATATTTTATTATCATTTTTTGTTTTTATTTATAAATAGGAATTTGGGAAGCTTTACTTGATGATGAAGTTGAATTTGTTGCTGATTTAGCAAATCGTTTAAAACAAGAACACCATATTAAAATTGAACGTGGTTTAATGCAACGTAAAAGTGGTGAACTTTATTCACTTAAACATGCTGTTAATCTAAGTCATGGTATTATTTTTGTTTTAATTCTAAAGAAAAAAAAAAAAAAAAAACATTGATGTTTAGAATTTAAGGAAGTCTGAATTTCTATTGCAAATCTTTTGTTTTTATTTAGTATATGAAACTAGATTAATTTATCACGAAAATGTATTATATGAATTAAAGATACATTAAGATGATTTTGGTTTCAGCAAAAATGAATGAATTTTGAAGAGGAGAATAACTTTTATTGTCTGGATACTTTATCTCTTGTAGAAAGAAAAATCCAGAAATTTTTAATCTCATCGTTGAGATTAATTTATTTCGAAAGTTTTGAAATTTTACATTGAGTCATTTCTTGAAATTCTCCGAAAAAAGGAAGATACTTTTAATTATCACTCATATAATGTCTGAGTAAGGAAATATTAGAAGTAAACTTGTTATAGTCAGGATAGAACTTTTATAAAAATACTTAAAAGTAGTTATAGAAAAACAAAAGACAATAACTTCTTAAAATTTTCTTCGATATTTAAAAATAAAATTAAGATGGTATTTATTGAATTTTTAAAGAGTGAGAAAATCTAATTGATTTCATTTGCTCTTTTAAAATATATTTCTTTTTTTTTTTTACAATAGATAATATTTTATAGAAAAATCTCAATGACATTAACTTAATCAGAATACTATTTGTAGGTTAAACAAACATATTTCGTTTCATGGAAATTTTTTTCTGTAAAAAAACAAAAAAAACATTCTTTTGATTTTTTCTGCATAGATATTAGTCAGGTCATGTATACTTTAATTGAAAAGAAAAAATGTCGAGAATTGAGATGAGGGAATTTGAATATTTTTTCGTTCGGAAGATAAAAGAACGTAAACTAGTATATTCGAATGAGAATGTTTTCTTTTAAAAGTTATATACTTATATGTTGTACTTTGGATCAAAATTGAGTTTACTATTAGTAACTCTACATAATCACGAGTAGATTAATTTATTTATTTATTATGTAAAAAAATAAAAAACATATTAATAATTCATTTCAACATTTCCAAAAAAAGGAACATTTTTTCATATTTAATAACGTACCGATCTTGAATATTTGTTTATCAGCCATAGAATTATTTATATATAGCCCATGCACTGGATTATCTTTCTAGAATAGTTGATATTTATTTAATCGACGACAATTTAAGGTTAAAAAAACCATAGTATCCTGTCTGATATATTAAAATCTATGTGTCATTCGGTACAATTCATTTTATTTTCAAAACGGAGAAAAAAAAAAGATAATAATCACATTTTCTGTTTTGCAATATCGTGCTACGTTTATAAACGATATGAAAATAGGTCATTATCTATTTCACCTGGTTCGATAGACATGATATTTACATTTATAATATCAAACATTCGACGCAAAAAAAAAATTTGTTTTCCCATTTTTTTTCTTTTTAGACTTTCTTGATACACCGGATTTCTATTGGTCAAATAGTCGATTAGAAAAGTAACTAAAATAAATATTTAATGTTTGATAATTTTTTTTTGTTTTTTAGTCTTTATAAAAAAATCTTTAATTATTTTACGATTGCTAAACGAACAAAAGTTTTAAATGAACGTTTAAGTTTTTCACTTGAACTTATATCAGTTATTGAAGCAAGTTTAAATGAAAAAAAACATGTACGACTTGAATGGATTATTATTACATTAATATTTGCCGAAGTTTTTTTCAATATAATTGATCATATTGATTTTTCTACATGGAAATTTTCTTCGAAAAATTCTAAATCTTTCGATGATTAATTTTTATATTATTCTTTCATTTATATGTGCTATTTTTTTTTTGTCGATTTAGTTATATTGATAAAATAAAAGAATATTCAAGAAAGTCAAATGACTTTTACATTCATTATTCATTTTCTATTGATAGTAACTACGTATAATATTATCTATAACTGTGATTGTTGTCACTATGATGTGAATAAGATAAAACAAACTAACACATCAAAAATAATAATTCAGTAGGCTAATTGACAGGATGATGATTTTGAATAAAACACATTGATTATATATAAATGCATTGATTCACCATGGTCTTTTATCTATTTTCTTTTGTTTTTTGAGATATAGTCATAATCGATGAAATGATCAGTCACACTTGATCGATCTTTTTATATAAATATGTGCACTTCTCGTATTCTATTATCAAACAAAAAAAAAAAGATGGCAAATGTATGTCCACTGCTCATTCGACCATCATTTACTGGTCACACTTATCATGATTTTCAATTACAATTTGAATCTCCAACAACCAATTGTACTGTAGATCCTATACAAAATCTACTTCTTATTCATTTTTCTCGTATATCAAATTTAACATCAAATAATATATCATATGCTCTATATGATCTAGCAAAACCTAATAATGAATCACCACATGTACAAGTTTTTCCTAATGATCGTGTTAATTTTTGTGTACGATCAGCATTTAATACAGGTCAAAATGATATAACATGTCATGAATTTTATATGGTAACAATGTTAACATCACTAGATAGAACATTATGGCCATTATTAATTATATTTGGTTATATAATTATATTATTAATAGCAATGTTTACTTCTTTAGTATCACAAATATTTGATAAATTATCTCAAACAATTTTTTCAGGTTCAATAACAAAAAAATTATTACAAACTCGAGATATATTTTCATTTTTACCAACATCACAACGAAACTTACATGATATTGGCTTAACAAAATTTGATGAAAAAAAAGAATTTTCAAAAGCACTTGATTTAATTGCAAAAGATTGTCGAACAAATACAGGTGCATATATTATTCAAACATCAAAATTCGATGAACCTATTTGTCTGGATTATTTCTAACAATTAATGTATATTTTGAAAGACTTGATAAAATAAAACAATAAACATAAATAAATTTACTGATGATTATGAATAATTTCTGATAGATAAGAAAACATTTCCATAACACCACCTCCTATTAAAAAAAATCATTGAATATTTATATTTTTTATATTGAAATAGTATTTACCAGTATGTGCACTCATTTCAAATATTTTCCATTCATTAGATTGTATTTTTGTTAATGATAATTTTTTAATAAGTTCTTCTTTTCTTAATGAGTCTAAAAAAAAAGAACAAGAAAAAATATCATACACATTAAATAATCTATGATAAAGAAAAATAAAAAAATAATTTGTAAACAAACGTGATAGATCTTGTTTATTAGCAGCAATAACAATTGGAATAGTAGATGATCGACCTAATTTTTTCGATAAATCTAAAAGTTCGTTTCTTGCAAGTTGTATTCGTTGTTCATCATGACAATCAATAACAAACACCACACCTTAATAAAAAAAAAAGTATAAAATTATATCAATGATAGTCTGTTGAAATGAAAAACAATGTGAAATACTCGTTCTGAAACACAATCAATCATAGAAATCATAGATTTATGTCCGTGTTAAAATAAAATAATTGAATAGTGTGCCTATGGAAATAAATTTCCTTTTTTTTTTCGACTATCATGATTTGTTAAAACAAATTTGAACTCAAGTTTTTTGTTTCTATGTGACTTAAACTTTCGTAGGAAGATCATTTCGATGAAAAAAAAAAAACAAAAAAACATTCTGTGTCATATGCATAAAGTTAAAAGGGTTATGATAAACATTGTTGAAAGCTTATTATTTGAAGCTCGATAAGTTTCGAGTGTTGATTGTTTTTTTTTAATGTCAAGTTATGTCTAATAAATTTTGACTGATCGAGCATATTTTTTCATTGAAATTGAATATAGACTGTAAAATCTTTTTTGTAGTATTTCTATTCTAATAGAGCATAATAAGAGTTCAATATACTAGTTTTTTTTTTTTTTTTAATGACAACTTATAAAAATTTGAAAATGATAACATTCATTGATTCATAGAAGATTGTAATTCATTTCAAATGTTTATTAATCAACTGAATTTATATAGATTCATATAGTTGTTCTATTTTTTTATAAAAAGCCTTATCAATACGTCGCTATAGTGAAACTTTGTAGCATCTCAATAGAAGTGGTTTCTATTTTTAATATGTCTCATTTTGTATACAACGTTTTACAAATCATTATGTCTATTAAAAATCGAATAGAAATAGACGAAATTTCAGCAGTGTTCAGACTTCCGAAAAAGGAAATTTCGGAAGTTTCGGAAATTTCAAGCATTTGTGTTCTGAATTGCACGTTACTTCCTAAAATGATGTAATTTCCGAAATTTCTGAAATTTCCGCAATTATGTACTTACAGAAATTTCTGAAATTACAGAAATTTCCAATATGTCTAAGAACTTTTGATTTGCACTGCTATATAGTTATCGAGCTGATGGAAATTTCAGAAATTTGGATAATTTCCTTTTTTGGAAATCTGAACATACCTCCGAAATTTAGAATATTTCATCTCTATCTCAATATAATCTAAAAGAAAAGACAACAAATCGAAATAACTTGCATAATTTTCAAATTGTTAATGACAAAAGTTATTTTTATGTAATTGTATCTGTTTATAAAGTATACCCATCTCAAATTGCTTTTTTCACGGTGGAATAGAGTGCCCTAATTCATCTCGAAAACAAAAAAAAAATGTCAATTCAACTTTTCAAAAGTAATTTTTTCAAGAAAACTTTTTAAAAAAATCATGTATTCTTGGATTTTATTTTATTTTTTTCTCATATATTTAACTTTATCAATATTTTTTCCAGTTTTGACAACATATACTTGACTAGACAAAAGTAATTTTTTAAAAATTCCTTTTGTCTATCGAAATATGTGTCACAAAACTGAAAAAAGAAAATTATTAATAAAATTGCACGAAGCCCAAAAAATATCAAATTCAAGGTTTTCTGAAAGTGTTTTTTTGAAAAATCTATTATTAAAAAATGGCGAAGCATTTTCTCTACATAATTCAATACACGCTATCTAATCATGCAAAAAAAAAGCAATGAGAGAAAAGAAGAATTTTTTTTGTTACGGAAAATTTCAATTGCATGCAACTTAAATATAATTTTTTTTTTTTTTTAAGAATGAAATAAAATTAATACAAATGATGATTTTCTTCTTATCATACCTTGAATACCCGTTAAATAAAATCTCCATAATTCTCTTGTTTTTTCTTGTCCACCTAAATCCCATATATTAAATGCTAATGGTGCAAGACGTGGATGAACAGTTTCAATTTGATAGACAAATGTTGGTTCTGTTTTAATATGTTCAATAAAAGATGCATGTATATTTAATTGTAAATCAACTAAATTTTTAAATCGTTGAACTAATGTTGTTTTACCAGCAGAATTAAGACCAATAATTATTATTCTAGCTGATGGTTCATCATAAGGAGAACAAATATGTCTAATCTTACTTGATAATACAACTCCCATTGCTCATCAATAGTCAATTTTGTGTTTTACATTGAAAATTTCACCTGACAATGATTGTATGACAAAGACAAATATTGATTAACAAAAATACTCTTATTTCTTCTTCTTTCTTTTTTTTCTTTTTAACATTTCTGAATTTCTTTTCTTTTTTTTTTTTTTCTTTTGAAATAAATCTTCGTTAACATTTGTGTATGAAAAGAAGGAGAAAAAAACCCGTTAAACATGCATTAAAAAAAAACAAAACAAGAAAAAAAAACAGAACTTTAAGTAAAACTATTCCTTTTTTTAGGTAAACGACGTAATGAAAAAAATCGTTGTCGTTGTTCAGTAGACATCGATATTTGATTGTTATTTGAAGCAATAAATATATATAAATTATTTCTTTTACGTTTATGAGAAAAATAATTCAATTGACAAGTTAATATCGATACAAAAGCACGACGAAATCGAACATTAAATGCTGTATAAATAATCTATAATAATAAAAAAAAAAACCCATAAAATAAAATTAATTAAGAGAATTTTATGTTTGTTTACTGGATTTAAATTTGATGATATATAACCAAGCCAACTAGTTAAATTTAATAATGATGGTTGTATACCACATGATGGACAAACAACTGCAAGAATATTTAATATTGAAAATGGAAGCCAAGCAACAAGAAAAACAAAAAATACAATTCCTAAAACTTTCATTGCACGACGTTCACTTGTTGTTTCTGTACCACCTTTAAATGCATGAAATGCTTTTTGTACAAATGTACTATGAAGAAATGAACGTTGATTTGTATTTGATGTACTTGAATTTAATGATGATCTTGATGATTTACTAGAAAATAAGAAATAAATCATACATAGTCAAGGTCAATATTACTATACAACTGATATTTCATTATTATTATTTTTATTATTATTCTTTTAGTGTATTGTGCTTGAATGATTTCTCATTGGAAATAGAATAAATATAGATATAAATATCTAAAGAATACTGTCTCAAGGGAATCTTCTATAAGTTAAAAGAAAAAAAAAATATAGTTCGATAATAATTTTTATTATGTGAACTAAACAATGAAAAAGTAAAAAAACAAAAAACAAAAAAGAACTTACGGCCATTCAAGATGATTTGATTTATTATCTGTTTCAATTAATGCTGCTGAATGAGATGATGATGGTGTTGGTATTGATGTTGAATTACTCGTATCTTTAATTAATGTTTTTTGATAATTACGTGGTGATGATGATGATGATGATCGAACTTTTGAAGTTGATTTATGTCGTCTTAAACGATGTGTTGCTTGTGACATCATCATTGAATGATCATCAGGATCTGAATAATATTTTGCTGCTTGTTGTTGAAGACGTCGAATT